GAGTCTGACAGCAGGTGCAGATTGATGTGAAGCTGGGACACTAGTTCCCCATTAGATCTGCTCTTGTGGTATATAGCGGCCGGTGCGTATATTCTACAGCCAACAGCAGGCTGTCTTTTTTGGTTATGGATCCACTTGCTCCATAATTTTAAGAGAGCAGACCTAATAGGGAACTACTATTTTTGAATCCCCATTAGGCTGTGCCCACCCAGCTTCAAAAATCCTCAGCTTCTGCACTTTTTGCCCAAATAGAAACTTTGTTCTCTAGTGCGCCTAAGCGTACAGTGCTTCTCCAAATTCCTGTACCTGTTTCCAACACGTACAGGGATTGGACAAAAAATGGAAACGCTACATGATTTGAAGGTGTGAAAGCGATGACATGTTTCACGTTGAAAGCAGAAATTATGTAACATTCTTTTGCTTCTGCTGTGTGATGAGACACCTAGGTAACAGGTGGTGGGGTTATGACTGCATATACAGTTTCCGGGAAAACATCGTCTGATAAGCATAAGAGCGGTTGACATGGTCGGCTGACCAAAAGAGACAAAAGGATGTTGCACAGTATTGTGATCCAGAGTAAGAAAACGACTGCAGAGCCCAATCTTCACAGGATTCCCTCCTCACTTTCATCAGTGATCGGTAAAGTGCAGCTCCAGTCAAAGCTGAAAAAAATAAGTCAGCAGCTACAAAAACTGTAGCTGCTGACTTTTTAAAAAAACAGCCACTTGCCTGTCCAAAGATCCAGCAGTGTACTCACCGCAGCCGTCCTTGCTCCCCGTCGCCAGAATCAATTGTAGGCACCCGGCTGTGATAGCTTGCGGCTTTACAGCCAGGTGCCCAAGGTGCATGCATGAGTAGCGCTGCACCTTTTGAATGGTCCCATAGTCTTCTGGGACCTGTTCCATGTCCCAGAAGACTGCGGGGAGGGGTGGGGGGAGTACATCTTCTTCCAAACGCCTAGGCAATCGCAGCAGAAGTGGGACCGGGTACCTGTTAAAATTGGGTACCTGCTCCCCAAAAGTTCCCATTTCTTTACCAGGAGTGGGGGAGCAGGTATTAAAGTGGAACTTCCCCTTTTGGGTGGAGCTCTGCTTTAACATGTGATCTGCCCAACTTTTTCTGCTTATCAGCTATCCTAATTGTTGGTGTGTTTTGTGTGGCCCAAGACAATTCCTCCTCTTCCAGTGTGGCCCAGGAAAGTCAAAAGGTTGGATACCCCTGATCTAAATAGGTCTGGAAACTGTGGTGTGGAAGAATCCTTATACCCAGTGAAACTTACAGAATGTTGTGTTGCCTTACATTAAGGAATTAGCCTCATTGTATCAGGATGTATATGAACTTCTGAAAAAAAGCAGATGTCCACTGTAGGCTAAAATAAAATTTGTCCTAACAGCTTCCCGTTTAAACAAAGCTGGCAGTAACCCAGTCTTGACCTTGTCTGAAAGAACAAGGGTCATATGAACTTGGATGGCTGTGAATGCAAATAGAGTTTGCAAATAGGATAGATTTAGACCAGTATAACCATGTTGATGATCATTTGATCATATTTTGCCCTTTTTTCCCCCTGTGCACATTTTAGGAGTGTGACTACAAAATCAGCATGCTAGAAAAAGTAGTTATCTAGGCTGTTTATCTGGCTGGTATTCACCTAAATAATGTTAGGCTTTCACTACAGCATAACCTTTTCAGCATGTGCTGCATGTTGGGCAAATTAAAATAGTACAATGACTTTTCCCCCAAATGTTTTAAAGTGATATTTGTGGGATTCATTTTTTTATGTTTGATTTCATAGTTGGGTTGTTAACCATTGTCCTTCTAGTTGGATTTTTAATTATCTCATAGTTTAATTAGGCCCCATGTACACTGGACACTTCTGAATGATGGAAACTGACAGCTGGAAAACGTAGGTTAAAAAACAGCTGTTTAGCCCCATTTGCGTTTTAGAAGCACTTTTTAAAGATAACCTCAGAGACCTTCCAAAATGCCCAGAATGCACTGAAAAACCGTAAAGAATGAACTATTTCAGACATTTTGAAAGAAATGGAGAGAGCATAAACAGAGAGAGCAGTACTTGTTGAGATTAGCTCTTTTTTGGGTTTTTTTTGTGGTGTTTGGATGTGTTCAAGCCAGGGTGGATTTGATTTAAATCAAACTGATTTAAATCACTAGTCAGTAAGGCTTGATTTAAATCCTAGTTTTCTACATAAAGACTAATTCTTGCTGGTATAACTTTAATATGCAAGTAGATGAAGATTTTTAGAATAACAACTTTTCATATTAGTTTTTTTATCCCCAGTTTAATAGGTTAATCATTCATATTTGGACAACTTTTCTGTTGTACTTGGGAAGGAGAAAACTAATCATTACCTTAATAATAACAATTTAAATAGATTTATTCAACTGAAACAATAACATTACAGCATATGTTATTTGCTTAAACAAACATCCATGTTTAACTAATTTGGCTAAACAAAATATATATATTTTAAGAAACTTAGACTGTCAGCCCCTTCCTCCTCACACTTAGTTTCACTTTCTTCTTGTGCAGATCTATTCCAAACAATCAGAAAAATATTGTTTCTATTCTATTCACTGAACTTCTTGAAACTTAGCACTGAAGGGGTTGATTCTGTATTCATAGGTTTGTAGAAGTTAGGATTAAGGTCTTTTTCTTAACTCTGTTCATGTTATAACATTTTTGCTGTGAAGAAGAGGCATGTGATCTCCGCTGAGTCAAATTCAGTTTTGAGAACTGCAAAAGTAAACCAAGCATCTGTGATAATATCTTGTAGGCAGAGAAACTGCCCAATAATCTTACAAAAACCTCTGGAAGAGCATGACATTGTGAATGGATTAATGGAATTTATTTACCAAAAAAATTAAACATATACAGCCCTATTCTACATAATTGAAAACCTAATCTTTATTTCATGATGGAATAACCTTTGGATGGTAATATATTTTCCTCAAAAAGCATTTTATTTAAAAAAATCCGATTTAAAAAAAAAAAAAAAAAATCATTGATTTTTATCCATCCTGGTTCAAGCTCATTTCTGTGCAGAAATTATTGCAGCGGTATCTAACTTTTTTTTTTTTTTCACGAAAAACCTCAAAGTATGGTGTAGCAGGTCCATTTGAGTACCGGGAAAACGCTTTGCATGCATTTTTCATTATGAAAAAAGGCTATGGACAGCATCTGGAAATGGAAGAGTTAAAAAAAAAATGCTCCAAACACTTATAAACGTGGTTAGCTGCGTTTACAAGCATTTGGCATTTGAAACGCTGATAAAATCTACTCCTGAATGCAAGTTTGGTGTGTTCAAAAAAATGACTGTAAACTCAACTGTCTGTAAACGACATAGTGTACATGGACACATAGGAAAACATTATGGGGAGTTCAGGGGCTGCTGAAAAACGCAGAAAACCTCCTAAACGTGAGTTTATCAGTTGCAGTGTACATGGAGCCTTAGACTGGTCCCTTTCTGTCACGATGACAATGCTCACCAGGACAAATAGTGGGGTGAATTTCCCCTAGCAGGGACATAGACAGCAAAATAACTTGAACAAGGTTATCAATTTTCTCACTTTATCAAAATAAACATATTTTTTAATATATAAATTTACTTTTACATACACTTTAAATTATACAAGGCTTCAAACTTCTGGAGAGTACTATTAGCGTACATGGACAGTTTGTGGCACAAATCTGCTCCAGCACATGAATCCCAGCTTTTTCTGCTTCTGAAGACCCACCAGCCATAGAAACTAATGGCTTTTCTTGTTCAGAGCAATACATAATACACGAGTAAACACATATACAGTGTTCATTCCTATCGCCAGGTGTACATGCCACCTTTGCTCTCTGGGCGGTGAAAAATACCAAGATTATTATGCTAGAGTAGATTTGTAGTGATCCAAATGAAATGTGCAGTGCCACTCTAAGCTGAGACAGAAATCTACAGTTGGTTGCAGTTATGGGAGCTGGTGTCCTTGCACCATTCAGAGGTGTAAGAGCATCATCAAAGAGCAGAAAAGGTTCCACTCACCAACCCAGTGCATTAGTATGTAGATGAATGTGGCCTCAGCCCAGATATGTTCCGCCCTGCTCACCAGGGCTGGCAACCAAGGTCAAGATCACTTCTGTGACCACCCCCTGGTGAGTGGGGTGGAACCTGACAGTGGGATGTGGCTGAAGCTGCGCTGGCTAAGGCCACATTTATCTACATACTAATGCTTCTCCTAGATTGTAAGCTCTAATGAGCAGGGCCCTCTGTTTCCTTTTGTACCAATTTGTATTGTAACTGTAATGTCTACCTTCATTATGTAAAGGGCTGCGCAAACTGTTGGTGCTATATATATCCTGTATAATAATGCACTGTGTTGGTGTGTGGCACTTTTTCCTTTCTTTGATGTCTGATGTCTGTGTCCCCATTAAGGAGTTTCATCCTTTTTTTTTTTTTTTTTTTTTTTATATTCGTCTTGTTTATTTTATTTATCTGTTATCACCAAAAGTGAAAAAAAAGAAAATCACTAATTTTGGGTTGTCACCAGAACTGGAACAGGGGGAAAATATTTCAGTGGGGATGCTAATTTTGGTGTCCTTGTGACAACTGATTCCTGCACTTTGGAGGGATTTCCCCTCCCTTCCTGTCTTGGTTCTGGAACAGGAAGTGAAGGGAATCTCCACAATAGGACACAAATGGTAAGGGTTATAACCCTCCCTTACTCTATCCAATATGGAGAAAAAAAGCTTTGTGTTTTCGTTGTACTTTAATTGTATTTGTATCTAAAAGTATGATTTGCCTACCAAACATAAGTTTCCATGATTCTATTTTTTTTTTGCATGCTTGTATTTGTATATAGTGTGTATTTAGTTTTTGATTTATGAATAGGTTTTTCACAGCTGCAGTATGGGAATGTAATGTCATAGATGGGAATGTTTACTTCATTGGTGCACAATTACGTTCCTTTATAACTTTATTTAAAATTGATTTTAACAGAAACATTTTGGTTGACAAGCCTAATGATCAATCTTCAAGGTGGTCTTCCGAGAGCAACTACCCCCCTCAGGTAAGTCTCTTCAGTACAGGATATTGGTACAAAATACTATAAATGATCCTCCTTCCCAGTTTAAAGCTGAACTTCACCCAAAAGGGAAAGTTCCACTTATTTTTATCCTCCCCCTCCACTGTCACATTTGGCACTTTTTGGGGTGGAGGGGGTAGCGAGTATCTGGTTTTGACAGGTACCCGCTCCCACTTCCAATCAGATGTGCAATGGCAATCTTAGCCGGAAGTTAGAGCCCACAGCTTTCTGGGACACTTCACAGGTCCCAGAAGACTGGGGACCATTCACAAAGTGCAGCAGGAAACCAGCTGTAAAGCCGCAAGGCTTCCCTGCTGGTTTCCCTTAATTAAGATGCTGGTACCTGCACCTGAAGATAATTTGAAGAATTTGCTCTGGTGAGGACATCGCTGGATTCCCGGACAGGTAAGTGTCTTTTTATATTTAAAAGTCAGCAGCGACAGTATTTTTTGGGGTGAGCCTGGAGCTCTGCTTAATTGAAAAGATATTTGTACTGCTCTGTGATAGTAGTTCTTTGTAGAGGGACTTGCATTTTGTCTCAGATTATAACCGTTCTATGTTTTTGTAATCTAGTATCTCATACTGAAAGTTGAAAGGCCAGCCATTGTCCAGAGCATCACCTTTGGAAAATATGAGAAGACTCATGTTTGCAATTTGAAAAAGTTCAAAGTTTTTGGTGGCATGAATGAAGAAAACATGACAGAGCTTTTATCAAGGTAATGGAGGAGGCACAGTTTTATTGACCGTATTGTGATGAAAGCCAGACACCTGTAGATCAAGTCTTTAGGAAGAAGGGAAACCTTTGCAGGGGTTCAACAGTTTTGTGGAGCACTCTAGACTTTTTATATCCACTGTATGTTACAAAAGTCAAACACCCCTGTTAAAATGTCAGGTTTCTTTGATGTAAAAAAATGAGACAAAGATAAACCATTTCAGAAATGTTTCCACCTTTAGTGTAACCTATAAACTGTACAACTCAGTTGAACAACAAACTTTTAGGTGGAGGGAAGTAAAAAGAAAAAACTAAAATAATGTGGTTGCATAAGTGTGCACACCCCTAAGCTAATTCTTTATTGAAGCACCTTCAATCTTCTTCTGGTGAAGCCATTCCTTTGTTGATTTGGATCTATGCTTTAGGTCATTGTCATGCAAAAAAGATGAAGTTCCTCTTTGTGTTCAGCTTTCTAGCAGAAGCCTGAAGGTTTTGTGACAATATAGACTGGTATTTGGAACTGTTTATAATTCCCTCTACCTTAACTAAGGCCCCAGTTCCAGCTGAAGAAAAACAGCCCCAAAGCATGATGCTGCCACCACCATGCACCATGCTGGGTATGGTATTCTTTTGGTGATGTGCAGTGTAGTTTTTGCGCCAAACATATCTTTGGAATTATGGCCAAGAAGTTCAACCTTGGTTTCATCAGGCCGTAACATATTTTCCCACATGCTTTTGGGAGACTTCAGATGTGTTTTTGCAAAATTTAGCCAGCCTTGGATGTTTTTCTTTCTTGGCACTCTACCCCATAGCTCAGACATATGAAGAATACGGGAGATTGTTGTCACATGTACCACACAGCCATCACTTGCTGGATATTCCTGCAGCTCCTTTAATGTTGCTGTAGGCCTCCTGGCAGCTTCCCAGACCAGTTTTCTTCTCGTCTTTTCATCAATTTTGGAGGGATGTCCAAATGTTGGTAATGTCACTGTTGTGCCATATTTTCTCCAGTTGATGACTATCTTCACTGTGTTCCATGGTATATCTAATACCTTAGAAATTCTTTTGTACCCTTCTCCTGACCGATACCTTTTAACAATGAGATCCCTCTGATGCTTTGCAACCTGTCTGCGGACCATGGCTTTTGCTGTAGGATGCGACTAAGAAAATGTCAGGAAAGACCAACTAGAACAGCTGAACTTTATTTGGAGTTAATCAGAGGCACTTTAAATTATGGCAGGTGTGTACTGACTCCTATTTTAACAGGATTTTGAATGTGATTGCTTAATTCTGAACACAGTTACCCCCCCCCCCCCCCCCCCCCCCCCCCCCCCCCCCCCGTTATAAGAGGATATGCACACTTATGCAACCACATTATTTTAGTTTTTTTTTATTTGTTTTTTCAATTGAGTTGTACAGTTTATGGGTCACATTGAAGGTGGAAAAAGTTCTGAAATAATTTTTGTCTCATTTTTGTACATCACAGAAACCTGACATTTTAACAGGGGTGTGTAGACTTTTTATATCCACTGTACATTACTCCAGTATTTGGTTGTGGCACCTCCAGGATACCTGCATGTAGCTTTTGCTTTTTGCCTGAGTGCCTCTGGAGTCCTGAAACCAAGGGCACTCTCATAAACAAATTCATCCTGCCTTCCTAGCCTCACAGTTTGTCATCTAATGGTATCCATCACATTTAAATGCTAGTAGATACAGACGTTTAAAAGTATTTTTTGTGTATGTATGTAATATATATATTTACTACACCCTGTTACACACACGCAATAATGGTGCCAGCACTCGATCCAAAAGACACGGTTTGGTGCTCCAAACAAATATAGGCGTACTTTACAAGATGAGGTAGGTACTGAGAGGTTTTCCTCAGGAATACAGTAACAAAAAGCTAGTTTTATTAAACTGATGTTTCAGTGGGCCTTGATAAAGGCAGGATGTGACCTGCCAAAACATCTGTTTAGTAAACCAGCTTTTTGCTTATGCTTACTTTTGGGGTGGACCTTTTTTAAGTTGCGTTCACTAGACTGTAGCAGTTGTAATCTTTTCTGAATAGTATAGCCATTGTCAAATTTTTGTTTTACTTGGTTCTGAACTTTTACCCTGGTCCTGAACATTTTATATTAAAGAAAATATAAGCTTCTGAGGGTAGTACCACCAGAAGGACTTTTCTAAATGAAGAATATTGAAAGTGTAACTAAGCCCAAAACCAAAAAATATATACATTATAGCATACCAATCGGTGAATATGGGATGCACTAATTTTCTTGCTTTTATGTCTTTCATTTCACTAGTGATCAGACAGTAAACACACCTCCTGTTTTAGGGTGGCTAATCTCACTCCTCCGCTGTATCTGTGGAGGAGCAACCCATGGACAGTAAAATTGTCAGTCAGTGGAAAGGGTGGTCTTGGGTGGACTAGTAACTTTAAATGGACTTTACATCGTAAGTAGTTACTGTTAGTGACTAACAGTGAAAAGTCACTCACTGCTTTTTAAAGCAGTTACAGCAGTAGGTGGTTGTTGTTTTTTTACATAAAAAAGGTGATCATTGTAAGAACCCCTGTGAGTAATAGTTTCTTTCAACCCTGCTGCTTTTGCTGAGCTGGTTGGCCTGTTATGGGAATTTGAAAAATAACAGATTTACTTTCTGGATCACCAGGTAAACAAAGGGAAAAAGGCCTGAAAGCAAATGAACTGATCCAGTTACCACATCTAAGAACTTTATTGCAATATAAAACATTTTTTGGTGGTTTAGATACGCTTTAAAAAATTGTTAGGTTGACAAGGACTTCTCAAGAAGGGCATTGTTGTTCTGTGTTTAAGGTGAGAGGCAAGTTTGTCATGGCTGCAAATTTCTACTTCAAAACTGAAATCTAGGCACAATGTATAGAAGTACCCTTTTTGTGTTTTTTACAAGCCCCACTATCACCTTGTAAAAGCACCGACATCTTCACTGTGCTGTGTATAGCTTGGAGCTTCGCTATGGGAGGATACCAGCTGGTCCACCTGTAGTAAAACTAAAGGAAGGAATGTAGGCAAGGCTAGTTATCCTTCACAAACAGCCTGCAACAGTGACTGGACTTTATTACAGGAAGCTCCTGCAGAGTCGAAGTTTCACACTGGATTAGTGCAAGGATCTGAAAGAAATACACAGTAAACTTGCATAGTCAAATGAGAATACACCTGCCTCTTGTATTTAGACAATTTTTGTTTTAACATAATTTAAACAATATTTGATTACCATGGAGGCAGCTTTAATTTTGTGCTGTGGATGACCATTTTAATCCTAAGGCAAGAGGTCCTATTGAGATTTTGTTTCACATTTCAGGTAAAGCAGGTCAAAAGCAGCCCTGATGTTTTTCAATAAAATCCATGTGTTTGAATAGCACTTCATAAAAATACAAAATACAATTTTATAAAGCCTGTCTACATGTGCCTAAAATGGTAACCACCATTGTCAACCTTGCCGAGTTATGACCTGCACCATCTATGGAGTACTAAAATGCTGCTCCTGCTAGTTTCACACTGTGTAGTTCTTTTTTGCTGATAAACTAGTAACAATGCCGGGAACATAATAGCCAGGTACTGTATAATAACCATAATAAAAGAAAAATCTGTGCTTAGTGTGTGTGTTCCAAAAGCAGTAGCTAGCGCAATGTTTTAGATACCACAATATATACCAGATGTCAATTTATTACATGCAGCGCTATTACATTAATGTGATGTCATTTGATCAGACATTATAATAATCCATGTGTTCTTTGTGTATCACACACAAAAATAAACCTTCAATCTCTGTGGAAAAAAAAAAACATTTTGTGCCTGATTTAAGTCCAACAAACATATACTTCAGTGATAAATAAGAAAAAAGGTCCACACTGTGCCAACACATTCCACTTTCCAGAGGTTTTGTGAGAAAGCCATTGAAGATTTCTCGGCTAACATCTGGAAAGTGGACTTTTTAATATTGATTACTGGAGTACACGTATTTTGGACTTTCTTTTCACTTAAATCAGGTACCTTTTTATGTTGCAAGTTCTAAAAAAGTAAGCAGTTGTAGCACTGATATTTCTCACTTGCTGAGGAAAAAAAAATCACCTGCTGGAATGTTTCACTTATTAGAGCTAATAAATTGGATAAATGTTTTATAGGTGCTTTAACGTTTGACAATTGTGTCATTTGTTCAATTAATACTAGTGTGTACAAAAAGTATTCATTGTGTTTTTCTCCATAGTCAAAGTTGCAAGATCTAAATTCTGCTAAATGCATACTTTTAAGCAATCTCTTTCTTTCAGTGGCCTGAAGAATGATTATAACAAAGAAACATTCACATTGAAGCATAAAATTGATGAGCAGATGTTCCCATGCCGATTCATTAAAATAGGTATATTACCAGTTTGTGTCAGCAGTTGTTTAATGATATATACTTGGCAGCCATAACCTAAATCATTTTCACTGTTGTAGTTACAATATCAAGTAATATGAACAATATGCTGCAGGTAAACGTATGCAGTCAAAGTTTTGAAACCTAAACAAAACGTTTCACTTAGTATGTGCAGAATTTATGTAGATCTCCCTTTTCATTGTGTAAAGCAGAACTAAACCATGTTATCCTTTACAGCCAAGGAAGCTGCCATCTTAGCCTTTGTTTGCATTTGCAATCTGCAGTTGCAGTGGTGCTACACGTTTGATCATTGATGACACCAGCAATTTGATAGGTTGATAGTTTGGGTGAGAGCACAAGCAACTGTGACAGTTCTCATTCATGGCACGCCCTTGAATGTAATGGTTTTGGGAAATCATTAAATCATTTGGTTTAATTCCAATTTAAGGAGACATTTGAGCAACATTTTGTAAAATGTTTTGTAGCCATAGTGTTGCAAATAGACATTTATTACAGTCTAATATTTGATCTTGTAATGTTTGTTTTATCATCTCATTGCCAGATTGTTTGTTTGCAATGTGCAGTTTCTATGGAGCATTAGACCCTTTTCACATTGATGCAGTGTGGTTTGACCACACTGTGAGTGTAGCTGTAGGTTTGGTGTGGGTTAGCTGCGCTTCCCCATTGACTTCTATTATCTCCAGCTGTTTTGGTGCAATTTTGGAAAGTGCTCCAAAACACCTGCATGCATGTGTTTTGGTGCGCTTTCAGAAAACACATCAAAACCATGAGACATAATAGAACTCAACGCACAGCTAACCCACACCAAACCCGCTGGTACACTGTTTTACACATGCGGTGCGGTCAAACTACACTGTATCAGTGTAAAAGGGGCCTTATGGCTGCTCAGTCTGACTACAGAGAAGTATTTAAAATGACTGCTTTTATTCTTTAGTACATGTTTAAAGATGCTTTCCAGGCAAACCACTAAATACTCAGCTGAACTATGTATGTTTGACGTTTAACACTACCTCTGAACAATTTTCATAGGAACCTGATACAAAATTGTTTTATAATGTGTGACACAATGATCTTTTGTGCCTGTATGTTTTTAGTTCCTCTCTTGTCTTGGGGACCAAGCTTTAACTTCAGTATCTGGTATGTTGAAATTAGTGGCATTGATAATCCGGAGGTGGTACAGCCCTGTCTTCACTGGTATAGTAAGGTAAGGGTATATTTTATATTATTTTTTTGAACATCTGTCAGTTTTTATTGCTGTCTCATTTTTGCAGATGAGATTTTCCCTTTTACTTTTGTCTTGATGACCATAAACAAATTTGGGGGCTCACCCAGAACAGTAAATACCGGATCTCCCCACAGCAGTAAATACCTGATGTGGGTTTATAATCATCTTTTCTATATAAAAAGGTAATATTGTTGCTGTATATCATTTTGGATTTTGTCCTGGCTGTTTCATTGACTGCGATGCTAGTGAGGGAAAATTTCACTAATAATGACAGACAGCAGTAAAATTCATTTGTAATCTAAAAATAAATGGAAATAATTGGTGGCTGGATTTCCAATTTTATTGAAATCTATATTGATTGGTGAGCAATGCAAGTGCTAGAGACTTTTATCTAAACTCCATACATCAAATTTAAAAATATCAGTTGTCAAACTGGTTTCACTCAGACCTTATGTGCTACGCCCTGATGACTTTCAAGCCTCATGACTTTTTTACACGTCATCTCAAAATTAAAAATATATGGCTGTAAATTGAACTAATAAAAAAATATTTGATTTGGAGAAAAAAAAAGTTCTTTGCTTTGTGAAACACTTTGTCCACAATGTAACTAAATCTACGATAACAAAGTGCCGGTAAGTGTGCATAAATTATAAAGTGTTAATACATTCCCTCAAGAATTCCTTAAAATCTCCCTGTTTGTAACGTGTACCCCTAATCCATGCTTGGCCCAGACACCATTGACTTCAATGGTCTGACAACCCAGCCAAGCCACACAGCAAAGATCTCTACGGAGCTCTGATCCATGAATTTTAAAATGAGGAGGGGATGAGTAGCAGAGTCTAATGTGCACTTTTTTTAGCGTATCTAAACCCAAAAATATTAACTTATTGCATCTGACCAATCCTTTTAGATGTTTGTGATTGCGTTAGTTTTCTGTATTTTTTTTTTTCTTTTCTCTCCATTAGTTTTACCTGGTGATCTGTCTAATAGTGCATTTCCTGTCTTATGGTGTATTCTTTGTCTATAGAGCAATGGAGTCACTCCTTAGACAGCAGTACTGTCTGGAGTATTGTTAGATTTAGAAGGACTTTAAATAAATGACCAGATTGAACAAATTAAAGCCTAACTCTAGCTAACAATTTTTTTTTGTTTTGTTTTAGTCAGTTACAAAAACTGTTTTGGATAAAAGACTGAATGAATAAAAGTTGACAATAAGCATCTGTGTTATTGTTCTAAGAAGGCTGAAAAAAAATTAAATTATTGAGGGACAAGATTGCTTTTTAGAGCTGATGACAGTCTGCATCATATGTTCTTTTTGATTCAGTGCCACTTTAAGGCCCCATTCACACTTGACCGATTTTGTAGCTCGAAGCATCAAAAGGCTTGACGAGAAAAAAATCAATTATTCTCAGTGAAGATGGTTCACATCTCCACTCCGAGTCACCTGAAGCTCAAACAAGTCCTTGTTGTTTCAAATTCGCGAGATATCCGCGTTTTTGAGCATTTTCATTTCCAGAGAAGTGAATGGAAATGTGCAATTCACACGTTTTGTCAAATGTGGAAAATTTTTTTTATATATAAATAAATGTAAAATAAATACACAAATAATTATAAATACCTATGTATAAATACTAGTTAACCCCTAACCCTAAAAAAAATACAATAAACACCCAAACAAAAATGTATGATTATTATTATTCATTTTGTATTAGGGTGTTTACAATAAACACCCTAATACAAAATGAATAAGACCATAATTAAAATATTAACCCCTATGCTAACCTTAACTCTAACCCCTTACCCTAACAAAAAATATGATAAATGAATAATTAATAAAAATAAAGCTGATGGAAAAGCTAATAAAAAGCTGAAAAATCTAGCAACAAATGATGCAACAGATTATATTTTTCTCTGTTGGCTAATACAAAAAGCCAAAGTTCAAAAACGCTGTATGAAAACACGCATTAAAATGTGCGAAAACCGATTAAAGACGCTACGCTGCAGTGTAAATCCAGCCTAAGTTGCCTTTGAACTGACAGCCATATTGTGGACATGTGGTGCAATAGTCCAGTCTCCATCAGCTCTAGGCTGGTGTTTTGAAAAGAGGGGGGAGCATCTGTCTCTGGTCACCTTTTGAAATGTCCACCAATACTGAGTATTGGCACAAGTATAACATTGCAGAAGGCCTTTTGCCCGTCTGTTAGCAAGAAGGTAGGTTTCTTAAAATGGAGTTCCAGTCACTCTGTAGAAAAATAAGTCAGCAACTACAAAAACTGTAGCTGCTGACTTAAAAAAAAAAAAAAAAAAAAAAAAGACACTCCTCTGTCCCTTGGTCCTGTGATGTCCTCCCCCCCAGCCCATTTCACCGGCCATTTGGTGTTCCTGGCGCCGGCATCTTCAGTGTGGGCACACGACTGTGACAGCTTGCGGCTTCACAGCCAGGTGCCCACTGCGCATGCGTGAGTACTGCTGCGCATTCTGAATGTTCCCGTAGTCTTCTGGGACCTGTCACATATCCCAGATGACTAAGAGAGGGGGAAACAAGTTCCGCTTCTGATTGCCTAGGCCAGGGGATTCAAACTCCATTTAATCATGGGCCGTATCAGCATTATGGTTGCCCTCAAAGGGCCAGTTGTATCTGTAGGACTAGAGGTCCAGAGCCCCCCCACTCCCTCCCTAACATCACCATGCACCCTCTTTGGGGGGTAGAGCTGGAAAGCAGAGTGTGCTGGGTCTAGAGGAGGACAGGAGTCAGCTGCCAGACTCTGCTGAATGCTGAGAGCAGGGGAGGCAGAGATGAGAGGGTGCCGCAGCTGCACTGAGGGGTGCAGGATTTGGCAGAGGAGTTCTATTCTCTCTGCTGCCGACTGCTTAGACAAGGTGAGGGTGGAGACAAGGGGGTACCTGCAGGAGAGATGCAAGGGCCACATGAAATGGCCTGGAGGGCCGAATTTGGCCCGCGGGCCTTGTGTTTGACCTGTGGCCTAGGCAATCATAGCCAAAGTGGGAGCGGGTACCTGTCAATTTTGATTACCCGCTCCCCAAAGGTGCCAATACTTAATGGGATGGGGGGGCTGTCTTTAAAGCAGAATTTCCCCTTTGGGGGTGAAGCTCTGCTTCAAAGTATATTGCCACTTTTGCACTTAAATTTGAGAAAACACCACTATGTTTGTGTTCCTATTCACACAGCATAAAAAAAATAAACATTTCTTACCTTTTCGATGTTTTGTGTTACCTTAAATGGTTAATTTGGGCCAAATACTGTGGCAGCTGTCAGCACTGTATGAACTGTATATAGGATGAGCTACATGCATACTAGAGCAGTGTGTTCCTATTTCTGGAACAAAATAGAGTTGGGCTGAACAATGTTTAATCATTCTCATCCAGGAAGCCTTGTATTTTTTTCAGTGAATGTGTTCCTCTGTTTGGCTAACACAGTCTCCACCTCAGCCAATCAGAGAGCCTTGTATTCATTTATAAAAGTACAAGGTTTCCTGCAGATGCCTGAGCAGTGCTCAGCCCAATTCAATTCTGTTCCGGCAGCAAAGTCCCTGTACAGGCCAGCTTGGCTCAAACAAACTAGTAACACAAAACCTGGAGAACCTTACTAAAGTCCGTTGTACTTACCTCTGAACTCTCTTGTTGGCATGTCCCATCTTCAGCCAGTCTTCCAGGTTTGACTTCTTTACTATATTGTGATAGTAATTTTAGTAAAGTTGTTCATCCTTCTCCTTGTGTTCCAGTAGTACCGTGAACAGGAAGCCATTCGCCTTTGTCTCAAGCACTTCCGCCAGCACAATTACACAGAGGCTTTTGAATCCTTACAGAAGAAAACGAAAATTGCCTTAGAACATCCAATGTTAACAGAGCTTCATGACAAGCTGGTTTTGAAAGGAGACTTTGATGGCAGTGAGGAGTTGATTGAAAAGGCTGTAAATGGTAAGTGCCTAAATGCTTACAAGTGTTTTGCATAGTTTTTATTATACAGTGCGTATAATCTGTAAACTGGCCGAAATTTGTTTTTTCTTGTCTTTACTAAAAGGTACCTAGAGGTTTCAAACCTGCATAACATGTAGTGCTAACCTATAGTACCAAACCCTGTCATGCAAGTATCAATTGACTCTTCTGGTTTAGAACTCGTGCTGCCCACCTTGCATGCATCATTATTGGTTAGTGAGGTTGCCCATTGTAGCTGTAGACCAGTTAGGAAAGAATAGGGTGTGGAAAGCCCAATATTCATTCACAGGTGCTGTACAATATTTGGATAATGCAGTACTCTGAGCTTCTGGAACTTGGCAACTTTTTATGTCTGGTGAGAGTTCAGAAGGCTTTAGGTGTTTCTAAACCCACATCTGTAAAATCAGTCTGTATATGCAGTAAAGCATGCTTCTTATACTCACTGTGGAACTGAAGGGGTTAATCCTCCACATTGTGTAAAAAGGCTGTTTGTTCCTGTAGTCTCTGATCCTCTCCTTCCTTTTTTTTATTATTTAAATATTTATTAATTTTCCATCAGATAAATTATACATTTCTCATACTTTAAAAAGAAAATGACATTGACACACTTATAGTACCATTTATCACTTTGCTTTACATTATACTTACCTCTTCTTCCATATCCATCTGTTGACAGTACAGAGCTCTGATTCATTCTGTACATGCTCAGTTTTTAGTGTGTATTGCTAGAGAGGTGTTTCCTCCTTTTTTTTTTTTTGTTTTTTTTTTTTTGGGGAGGGTGCAAGTAATCGGCACAGGGGCCAATCAGCACTGCCCACACAGAGGGTCAGGAGTTATGCAGCCTCCTAGGACAGTCAGAACAGAATGAAAACTACTCTTGCACGTTTTAACCAGTTCTCAGCCGGACACTGATAGATGTCACAAGACTGCTATATGTATATAGCAGTTTATACTTACTAAAATAATTGCACTTCCATGTTCTGTGTACTGTGGGAGACCAGATATAGTGAATTCAGGGTCCTAGGTTTAGTAACACCTTTAAATTGAATACTGTTGTGGTGTTATTTTTTCTTAAATACCATGTGTTCCTGTAATAAATTCAGGGCTTGGAAACAAAATTTAAATATTTATATTATATATTAATGTACAAACTGCCTCTAATGTATAGAATGAAAAAATAAATGGTTATACCTTCCTAATCAATGGCAGAGCTAAAGTTTCACTAGGTTTTTATTACATGCTTGGATCATGATTTTTTTTTACGGAGTTCCATATTGCTTATACATTACTGCCAGAATAAATGTAACGAGATTTTGATTTATACTTTTCAGATGGTCTGTTCAGCCAGTACATCAGTCAACAAGAATATAAACCACAGTGGAACCAGATAATTCCTAAAAGCTCTAAAGGTAACTCTTTTTGTGTGTCATCTTTGCACTAAAGGAATGAGTTTTATTTAGCTTACAAGGGTTCAGCAACAAAAGGGACCCGTTAGATTCTCAATATAATATGACTGAGTGTTTGTGTATACTGGGCTGCAATATTTTCACTTACAAATACAAATTTCATTCATGATTATTATGATAAACAGCTGTTTTCTTTTTATATTGCTTGTGTTTGTTTAGGGGACGGAGAAGATAGCAGGCCAGGAATGAGGGGAGGACATCAGATGGTTATCGATGTACAATCTGGTAAACTGGTTTGGGTTAACTGATAAAATGTTACTAAAGACTTGTTTTCAATTAAAATAACAAACATGTTATACTTGCCTGCTGTGTGTAATGGTTCTTCACAGTGACCCTGATTCTCCTCTTCTGGGTCTCCTGCAGGCGATTTTTGGCTTCTCCTTCTCCACGTGCCCCCATAGCAAGCTGCTTGCCATGGGGGCACACGTGCTGCTAACTCCTGAGCTGTGTGTGTCTATGGAGCTGCACTCCATAGACACACACAGTGGGCCTTGTCAATGCCCCCACTGCATCCTCATAGCATTTGAGTCTTCATGTGAAGAGGTAGAGAGGGGAAAAGAGATATAGCTATGCACAGTGCTGGATCTATTGAGGTAATTTTTTAGGGAGGTGGGGCAGCACAGCCATCTGTAAAACGTTTTTTACCATAATACAGGGAATGCATTAAGGTAAAATCTCTTTACATTTAGAACCACTTTTAAAGCTTATTAGGATTGTAGAGCGACAAGAAAAACATGAGACTTTTTGATGTGGCAGTGTGAATGCCAGACAACAGTGTTTGCGCCCCCCCCCCAAACCTCACCTAAACCTATGTGGCAACTGCATTAATCTTTATACATTAAAACATCTGTGAATTGAGGCTTTTATTTTTTATGAAAGCTCAGAACCCCTAAACAGTAAAACCTGTTTTCACTTCAAGGACAGTAATTTGGTTGCCACATAGTAATTACACTGCCTTATCAGTGTATAAAATACTTTTAGATTCCGTAGCTTATGAACCACTTGTGCCTTTCACCTACCCTTTCAAAATGTGGCTCTTGTAGCAATTCATCAAGCAGTGTAGTACCTGTAGGTAGGAGAGTGCATGAACTCACACAAGTTAACTATTCAGATAAAGTAACATTTGCCAAGTATGTTTTATGTTTGGCTTAATATTCTAGTGCAGTGCAATAATCACCTCTCTGTAATGTCCAGCTTTAGAGCATTCCAAGTAGTGTCTATGCAGCTAAAGCCCCTACACACATGATGAGAATATTGGATGAATTAGCATCTTTTTTTTTTTTTTTTTTTTTTTCTCTTTAGTTGTGAGCATTTGCGTGCACAAAGGTGACATCCTTTTTGTGGATGTCAAGGGTATACAGTGTATTAAATGTTTATTTGCTAAGCAAATATATTATAGTACTTTAAAAATGACATAAGACATCAGTTTTAAAAACTTGTGAAGAAAAAATGTTTTAAATATATTGGGATCAGAAGCATACAAGTCTCCAATCTTGCCAATTGTGGCAGTTTTGGTAGGTTTCCTTGTTTTATGCTTTTGAAAGCTGGTTTTAAGTGGATGAAACTGCTTGGTCATTGCCATATTATTCAATACAACAATAATTAATAAGGGTGTTTTTAAGTAGCCATCTTTCACATATTGTTTCACATTTCCCTGTAAGACGGTAGCTTCAGAATATCAGACTTATTGACACATCTGTTTCTGATTGGCAGAGATGGTGTATTTGTTTGGAGGCTGGGATGGAACACAGGACCTAGCAGATTTTTGGGCATATAGTGTCCGAGAGAACCAGTGGATCTGCATATCCCGAGATACAGAGAAAGAGGTACATTGTCCTGATTTTTCTTGATGACAAGACCAAGAACTATTCTTTTTTAATCCTTTATATAGCATTCATATTAGTTCTTAAAAAAAAAAAATAAATAAATAATAATTTTGCTTTTTAAAGCTGAACTCCAGCTGTTGGTACACTTTACATGGTTTGTGTAGGGCAAGGTGGCCCAAGTGAACTATGTCCCTAACTAACATGTGCGGCCGTAGGATGTGCTGCATAAATCGTATGTAGTCGAGGCTACTTACAGCACTGTGTGCCAGGTGCGTACCAAGACCTTGCCGCTCAGAACTGGAACACCGTAGAGTCATTTTGAGAGGCGCTCAGCCGCTCATAGAAAGCAATTCTATCGCTGAATACATGGCTTTTTCTGATTACTTGAGCCAGAGGTTGTGGCATCACCAGCCTACCTTTGACTCAGCCAATCAGAGGAAGCTTTGTGTTCATTGATAGAATACATTGCTTTCTATGAGTGGCTGAGCGCCACTCCAGGTTTGAGATGGGAAGGTCTCGGCTCGCACCTGGAACACAGTGCTGTATGTATGCCTCAGCTGAATATAGCTTTATACAGCACATCCAGCAGCTTCACATGTGAAGGACATAGTTTCTTTTGGGCCAACTTGGCCCAAACAAACTAAAGTGCACCAAAAACAGAAGTTCAGCTTTTAAGTGTCTTTGCATGTTGAAGGAATTGTCCAAATTAATTGTGTATTTTATTCTTTGCTTATTCCACTTTTGTTGAGAATAAAACATTCAAACATTAAGGCTTTGTTCACACCATACATGCAGAAAAACTGATGGAAACTGACACGCAGATTTCACTTGCAGAGACATCAGTTTTCATGTGCAGTTCAATGAGTTTTATACAGGTTGCAGATTTCTGAGCAGAAAAAATCTGCACACTATACTAGTGTTGTGGTGTGAACAGGGCACATAGAGAACAATTGATTTAATTGTGCCCTTGCAGAACGCCTACAGAAAAATGGACATCTCTGCACCATGGTGTGAATGGGCCCTTAGGGCTCATTCACACCATGGTGAGGAGACGTCCCATGTTCTGCATGTGTTCTGCAAGGGCACAATAAATTCAATTGTTCTCTATGTGCCCTGTTCACACCACAACACGAATTACTGTAGTAGCTAGGCTCCTGCATGGTCTCCTCTAGACCTGCTACTATGTCAACTGCAGTAACTAGCTTTCTGCCTGTTCTCATTTAGACCTGTCACTAGGGGGTTGATTTACTAAAACTGGAGAGTGCAAAATCTGGTGCAACTCTGCGTGGTAACCAATCGGCTTGCAACTTCAGCTTGCTCAATTAAGCTTTGAAAAACCTGGCAGCGGATTGGTTTCTGTGCAGTGGTGCACTAGATTTTGCATGCTCAAGTTTTAGTAAATCAACCCCTGTATCTCTCATATGAAAGGTTTTCTCACTTTAACACAATATAATGTTTTATACTCTCCATCTATTCACACATCAATGTTGTCTCTACATTGCTGAATAAAGAACACCATGCTCTTCAGTGCTATACTAATGACCACCTAACCTAACATGGACTCCAGTAGACCTCTGAAGATATACTGTGGCATCTGACACCAAGCCATCAGTAGCAGATTCTTTAAGTCCTGTAAGTTGTAAGGTAGCGTCTACATGGATCAGACATTTTTTTGCAGCACATTTCACAGATACTTGATTGGATTAAGAACTGGAGAATCTTGGGGTCAAGTGAATACCTCAGGCTTGTTGTTTTTTGTTCCTCAAACCTTCTTGAATTTATCTGACCAGGTCACCACTTTCCATTGCTTTGTGGTCCAATTGAGATGCTCACATGCCCATTGTAGGTGTAACCTGTGGACACAGGTCCGTATGGGCACCCTGACCAGTTTGTGGCTATGCAGCCCCATAGGCAGCCAGGCAACAAACTACAATGCCCTGTGTATTCTGACACCTTTCTGTCAGAACCAGCATTAACTTTTTCAGCAAGTTGAGCTACAGTAGCTCTTCTATTGGATTGGACTACACGGGCCAGCTTTTGCTCCCCGCATGCATCAGTGAGCAGTGGCCGCTTATGACCACCGGTTTTCCTTGGACTACTTTTGGCATACTTTTTTTTTTTCTTTTCTTTTTCTCTTGCTTCAGGGACATGTTCCCTTGTTGCCTAATGTATCCCACCCACTTTCAGATGCCATTTAACAAGATGATAATCAGTGTTGTTCACTTTACCTGTCAGCGATCATAATGTTATGGCTTATCAGTGCATGCCCAAATGCTGATGTTCACACATCTTCCTTTTTTTTGGTTGATCCCACATTCTCTGGCAACCTCTCCCCCGACCTTGTACTGCCTAGGGTATCTAAGTCTTGTCCTAACATTTGTATTCATATTTTTGTCCATGGCTGATTCTATGTCTTGAAACATCCTACAACTGTTTCCCCTCACTTGTCCCTGCGTAAAAACTTCAGATTTTGCTGGTGAACTCTTGTTGAGACAGCCAACGCCCAGTTTTCTTCACTCAATTTGAGTAAATCTCACCTGCTTACTACATCACGGGGTTAGCTGCACTATCTAGTCTCCCTTTTGCACAAAACGCCCTGGCTTGCAACCCCCAGACTCTGCCATGATCTTTGACATGCCCTTTCTCCCTGTATCAGGGTTGGAGATGACCGATTTGATTGATTTATGAACTGCCAAGCCATTCTGCTCTTGCCTGCTCAACTCCATTCACCAGCTTATGTGTAAAGTTTCGCTATTGCCTCTATTCTTTGTACTCCTTTTTATGCGTTTATCTCCTCCTTCTACAAGCAGTTTGTTGGTGCCCTGGCACTCAGGAGCAACAACAGGTGCATCTGCAATACTGAATGGCAGGAAAGAGCATGCAACTCTCCATCCTGTGGATGACATCAACACTCAGCCCCTCAGTATTATCAACTTGCATGGTGAACCTGACAGCAGGAAATTTGAAAGTGATTCGCTGTCCAATACTGAGCTAGCTCCCAGTGTTCAGCCTAAACAGCTTACTTGTAAATGTGTCAGAGACGCAGCAAGCACTGAGGCATTGCCATGGCTCTGGACTTAGTAGGCACTCCGTAGCTAACTTTTACAAGTACATGATGTATGGAATGTGCCACAGACTGAACTCAGTAACTAAAGGGCACATTCCAGGCTAGTTCTGCAACTTCCAGTACTAGCAGTGTCCATGTATGACACTCCTAAGTCAAAGCAAGGATGGCTGCTGTGTAGAGACCAGCTTGAGCAGTGATAAAGCTGCAATCTTGATTGAAGAAAAAAAAGCTGCATAAAGGCGAGACTTTTATCAGCAGACCTGAAAAAAAGATGTCTGTCCTTTTTAGGACACTAAGAAAGAAAGGCATGCTGTGAGCGGGAAGGGTTATCTTGGTCTGGCCTACAGTTTGTTTGCCAGTGCTCCTCCTCCTGCAGGTGGCAATATGACCTAAAAGCATAAAACTTTCTATGCCCTTCAAAAGATGAGGGAAGCAATGAATGCCCCATGTACTGTATAAAGTAATTACAAACTACATACATGTATACCAAACAACAAGGTTTAAATGCATTGCTTTTCTATTTTAGCTGATCTTTTACGTTTTGCAAACACAAAGGAATTTTAAGCCTGTAGTCCTTTTAAAGTAACCTGGCCTTAAAGGCTTGTAAGGTAACCATTGTAATTTGCAGGTACCTTGTGCTAGCCTGCATGTACTTGTTTAGAGATTTAAGATTGATTCCTGAGTCCTTTTGTATCCTAAGCCTAGGAAGTATATGGAGCCTTGACCTTTGCCCAAGTTTATATTGGGCCCACTTAAAGTGATATGTCAAATCAAATTTCTCTGGGAAGTAGCTGAGAGGGGTGGGTGATTATTCCTGACATGGACAGAAGTTAAATGGCTAGGTTCAACTTTAAGAAAAAATAAATAAATGCATATATTTTTGCAAAAGAAAAGTGCTTTTCTTTCCTACAGGAGCCTGAAAAGCATGTGCAATGCCGGGCTCCTCCTCCAGCTTTCTGCCTGTTCCTTTGTATGGGCTTTGTCAGAAAGCTAGAGGAAGTGTGAATGGTGATCGGCTCACTTAGTCTATTTATCAGCGGCTGTGGGGTAAAAGAACCCCTGCTTACTGTCACTGGCGGGGGTGCTGGAACATGTTACACCCTAAATACAGGTGTAACATGCTCTCAATCTGAGCTTAACTTTTTAAGGACCTGTTTACAACCTGGGCTTGGATCCCAGGGGCTTAACAAAGATCAATTTGAAGAACAAGGAGTCTTCACTTCATTATTGTCTCCCTTAGAAACGTTTTAGACCATGGCAAGGTCACGTTAAGCTTTGTATTTGCAGAGAAATGTACATTTTGAAATGTGGTTTGGATTTCCCTGTTTATAGTCCTTAGGAAGTCCATCCATTATGGAAAATTGCTCGATTTCCCTCCATCAACACAGTGACTGTCTCCATCCTGCAGCACTAGAGTATTCTGCTGGCAGAGAGCCTTCCCAGCCAGCAGAATACAATGATCACTGCAAGCAGCTATAGCCGCCAGCAGTGATTGCAAGAAAAAAATCCAACAAGCTAGTTTTACTGAAGTCAGTCGACTGATAGATTGAGTTCAGTACAACCAGCCTGCCCATAGATGGATTGAAATTTGGCTGGTTAATGCTGAACTGGACAAATTTTGATCCATCTATGACCGTCTTAAGTTGGTTAGACCTTAAGGTTTGTGCTGCAGATACTGATGTTTTAGTTGTATGTTTTTTTCTTTTTTTTTTCCCCTTTAAGGCTACTAGAGGTATATAGTGTCTCTCGTAATATCAGCTGAATACAGACCTTTATAGAATGTTTAGTAATACAGATGGCTGTTCTTGATTGTCTATATTTAATTTTTTAAAATTTGTTTTCTTAGAATGGTCCTAGTGCCAGATCTTGTCACAAGATGTGCATTGATACTCAGCGCAGGCAGATTTATACTCTTGGTCGGTATCTGGACTCTTCTGTACGAAACAGCAAATCTCTAAAAAGTGATTTCTATCGCTATGATATTGACACCAACACGTGGACTTTACTGAGTGAAGATACATCAGCAGATGGGGGGCCTAAGCTTGTATTTGACCACCAGGTATGTGTTCCTTTAGGCCAGTCACCCTGGCAAATAGGGCTGATTTCAAATACACACTGACACCACTACCTATGGCTGATAGATCGGCCCTGCCTGCCTGTCTGCATCCAGGGTCAATCATCAGCAGGTAAAGATTACATGCAGATGACCACAAATAACCGTATGTGTTGTCAGCCTCCCTTTGCTTTGAATGGGGCTTCCACCCCCAGCTAAACACAGGGAAACCCACTATGTTTCCCACTGATAATTGCAAATGGCCCCATTCAAAAGTGTGATTGGGGCCTGTAAGTGTTTCTAAAACCATGACCCTGCATTCACTATATCTGGTCTCCCACATAACATGGAAATGTTATTTATTTTAGTAAATAAAAACTGCAAAATACTTGCAGCAGTTAGAGAAGTCTTGTGACTTCTATCAGTGTCAGGCTGAGTACTGGTTAAAGCTTGTAGGAGGTGTTTTCTTTTTGCTCTGATTGTCTTATGAGGTTGCATAACACCTGACCCTCTGGGCAGCGCTGATTGGCCCTGTGCTGAATATACGCGCACTCTAGCAGAATTCACGAAACAGAGCATGTGCAGAGTGACTTCTAGAGCTCTGTACTGTCAGCAAAAGGATTGGAAACCATAAAAGGAGAGGATCTTTTTACACAATGCAGAGGATTAAACTCTTATGTTCTACAGTGTGTAAAACAAGCATGCTTTACTGCATATACAGACTGATTTTACTGTTGTGGGTTTGGTAACACTTTAATCAGTATGATTGATGAGAATTAAGCCGCTCGCAGTTGGTTTAAAACATGCAGACAAGATCGTTTTCATTTGCGGCTTCCTGTATGAATAATTACTTTGATTTTCAGATATCTACTTTTTGTGTAACTAACTTATCTTTTCATGGATTTTTAGATGTGTATGGATTCTGAAAAGCACATGATCTACACATTTGGAGGGCGAATACTGACTTGCAATGGTAATGTTGATGATAGCAGGGCCAGTGAGCCCCAGTTCAGTGGACTTTTTGCATTTGATTGTCGGACACAAGTGTGGAAACTGCTTAGAGAAGACTCTTGTAATGCTGGACCTGAAGATATACAATCCAGAATTGGACATTGCATGCTTTTTCACTCTGTAAGTATACTTGTGTTTGTATATTAATTTGAACAATTCTTTAAATCCAATAAAAAATTAATTTTCTTTCACCGCTTTTATGAAGAAAATCATATGCAGGTAATAATTGTAATGCTGATATTCAAACTAAGTGACAGGTTAGTTTAAGCATGCGTCTGGGGAAGGGGGGATATAAATTCCCAAACTGAATGCTGTGGAGATTGAGTGAACTGTGAAAAACATAAATATGTCATAACTAAGGTGAAACATTTGGAGATGTAAAATAGATTGATCTGTTAATTGCCATTTTACATAATGTGTTGTTCTCTTATTCATTTAAGAAAAATCGCTGCTTATATGTGTTTGGTGGACAAAGGTCGAAGACCTACTTGAATGACTTTTTCAGTTATGATGTGGACAGCGACCATGTGGAAATAATCTCAGATGGCACAAAGAAAGATTCTGGCATGGGTAACTGAAATGACTTGTGATTTGTCTTCTAGCTTTGCTTATGATCTGTTGCCTACAAATCAAAGGGAAAAACAAGTGAAAATGAAGTAATGAAGCAGTTTTTTTTTTTTCCCTTGCATTGTTAAAATAAAAAGAGCATTAGTTCTGTTTTCACACCATTAGTTAAAGGCTCTCACAAATTTAAATTTTGTGAAAGTAGTGAGGAAGAGGCAGTACTATACCCTTTTGATTTCAATAATGAAATTAACCCAGGGTTATTCACAAATTAGCAGCACATTTATTGCAAGGTCCGCTTGCTCCATGTGGTACGTTTTTGTCATCTAAAACACATGAATGACATCTGTTTTGCATTTTGCTTTTCTCTTTTCCATCAGTGTAGATATACTCTTCTGATTTGCTGCAGAGGGGCAGTCAAACAATGATGGGTGGTGCATAGTCCGGGCTTAGTAGTTAAAAAGAGAGCTATTTAACAAACTTAATTTTTGGGGTTTACCTACAGTTTGTTTTTCTTTCCCCTTTGAGCCCACGTAGCTGGAAGTGGGAGCCAGTTGTGTAGTGCAATGTCAGAGAACTATGCATGCCCCTGATCCAATTTATTGCTCTGGATTAACTGTACTACTGAATAGAGGAAGAAATCCATCTCATTGACTCCTTGTGACAATAAATAGTAGATGGTGGTGCCCATGAAAAAGGGGTTTTCTGGTGCCACAATTACAGCTGAAGACCTTGGTATTTTGTAAAAGGGCCTACAGGTGCTTAATAAACCAGAATGTTTTAAAGCGGTAGTAAACTGTCCAAAAAAAAAAAAAAAAAAAATAATGGGCCCCTGCAGGTTTAGGTCATAATGTATTAGTATGTACCGCATACTAGTACATTATGACAGACTTACCTGTACATGGAGCCCTCCAGCGCCGCACTCTCATGGCTCCCCTGCACCGCCATCTTCACCTGGTCTTCCTTCTGGGCTCGTGGGCTTCGGCAGTATGAAAGGCACTGGTGGGAATTGATCAGTATGCACTGATATGCAGCATTGTTGGGTGGCACTGCTGGGCACCACTGATGGGCACTTTTGGGGCTGCATTGATGATTATCTGTTGTCCTTTGTGACACTTGCCGGTTATCGGCAGTACTTTCCCTGCGCTGTGACAACTTTGTGATCAGCTGTGTCATCGGACACAGCTGATCACATGGTGAAAGGCCACTGTGGTTGGCCTTTTGCCTTGTCATGTGATCCGTAGGACACGACGATCACAGACAGCACCAGGTGCGTGCGGCTGGTGTTGCCGTGTTCTGGGAGGATGCCATCTGACGCCCTCCCAAAACTGGACAACTGTGCTGTTGATTCAGCTATAGCGTGGTTGTAAAGTGGTTAAGGGAATAAGATCATTTCTACTTCTAGAGAGATACTTACTCAGCATAAATGTACACCCCAGCAAATTTGTCAGAAAACCTTTCAAAATCCACATTTTCTGTGGGACACTACTACAAATGAGATTTGTTAATTTGCACAAACAAAAAGTATTTTTCCAAACAAATTCATTCAAGACCATGTTGCAAAAATCAATACACCCCCCATGAAATTTTAGACAACAAAATCCTAATTATCAAGAATTCAACTACAGGTGAGTCTAATTCATTAAACAGGTGTCCAGCAGACGATTATAAAAGGGAGTTACTTAACAAAGAAAACCCCTCCCATTTTATGTTGCCAGCAATGCCACCACATGGAAGAGAATTCCACAGAAATTAACCCCTCGGCAGGAGCGTCTTGTGGTGGGAAAGGTTGAAGAAAATCCCCATGCAAGTTCACTGCAGTTAGCTAAAGAAGTAGAAAGCCAAACTGGGGTGATTGTTTCTAGTCACATAATATGGCGTACACTGCAGAGGAATGGCATGCATCGGTGTTGTCCATGAAGGAGGCCTCTCCTAAAGCCCATGCACAAAAATGCCCACCTAGAATTTGCTATGGCCCATACTGACAAAGAAGAAGACTATTGGGACTCTGTACTTTGGAGTGATGAGACCAAGACATGTTTTTGGAACTGATGGCTTCAAAACTGTTTGGTGTCGCGAAGGTGAGGAGTACAAAGAAAAATGCATGGTGCCTACAGTGTAACATGGTGGTGGCCGTGTCCTTTGGGGCATAATTAATTCAAAGATGTGTTCTGCTCTATATTGAAAGAGAGGATGCTACCATCACTCCGTGCCCTTGATTGTTGTGCACTTTTCCAGCATGACAATGATCCAAAACACACATCTTAGGCAACTGTTGCATTTCTGAAGAACAGGGTGAAAGTGATCCAGTGGCCAAGTATGTCTCCTGATCTGAACCCAATCGAATACCTATGGGGAATTCTGAAGAGACCTGTTGAGCATCACTCTCCATGCAGCATCCAGGCTCTAAAAGAGGTTATTCTTAAAGTATGGAAAATGATCGATGTTGCAGTATGTCGCTAACTTGTTCATTCCATGCCTAGAAGACTTGGTGCTGTCCTTACAAATCATGGTGGTCATACAAAATACTAGATGTAGTAGTTTTTTGTTGTGGGGTGTATTCATTTTTGCATCAACTAATTTGAGTAAATTTAAGTTATTTTCTTAACCTTTCATGTAATGAGCTAAACAAATGTTCTATAAAATTCAGTTTTGTCAACATTTTGGAAATTGTTCTTGTATTCATTGAGCTATTGATTAAAATTTTACTTTTCAAAAGGGGTGTACTAATTTATGCTGAGATCTCTCTATCAATATATAAATACATTTTTTTTCTTCAGTGTTGGTAATTAAATGTGTGCAGGTGACAGCTGTGGAACAGATAGAGAACAGATTTTTTTTTTTCCCACAAGTACAGCGCTGGCTGCTTTATGGCACAACTTACTGTGCAGGCACTGGGGGCACATCAGTTTCAGCCACATGTTCATATTAAACAATGAGCCCAGGGGAATCTCTCTATAGTGGCAAGTGTACAATTTTCTGTTTAAAGCAATGGCACAACAAATATGTAAAATGTGGATGTTGTATCAACTGCTTTGTTGATGTCAAGATTGGTTATGTCCACAATGCTACCCTGGTCCAGTACATGTGTGTAAATCTAAAATGTCTATCATATTAGATATGCCTTCAGTAATGCCATGCAGCCTTGTGTCCAGCAAGTTGTTGTGGGGTTTTTTTTAATCACTTATCCTTTTTTTTTTTTTTTTTAAATTTGATTAAATTTAGTTTTACTACTACAGATGTTTAAACTTTTCTGGCTTGTAGTTGCCAGCTTCTTCCATTTACTATCCTTTTTGTGGATGACCCATTTTATTTTTTCAGTAGAACGTGATGTTCTGTTTAGTTTATTAAAGTTGTCTGCTGTAGGGCAAATAGGTTAAGTGAAAATGATTTGCTATAGTAAATGTAAGCTTCTGTATTCAGGAATGATACTATATAAACATACATTTGTGTATACACTGTTTATTTTTTTTTTATTTATTTATTTTAAACAAAAGTGACTTGCACTGTTTCTAAAACATAATGGCAAATTATTTGTTGCATCCATCAAGAACATATGATAACTGATCCCCATGCCTTAATTGCCCTAACTAGCATGTTTTTGCAGTTCCAATGACAGGTTTTACTCAAAGAGCCACCATTGATCCAGAGCTGAATGAAATCCATGTTCTGTCAGGATTAAGTAAAGACAAAGAGAAACGGGAGGAGAACGTCAGAAATTCCTTCTGGATTTATGACATTGTCAGGAATAGTTGGTATGTATAGACATACACAAAGTTCTGTTTGTCTAATTTATACACATACAACTTACACTAAAGGTGGACCACTGTAAATAAGCCATGTAAAAATCGATATCTGTTTAACCACTTCCTGATCAATGAACATCATCACCACCTGCAAGAATTCGGGGCTTCATAGACAACTATTACAAAAGACTGCACGCTCTCATTGATGCTAATGGGGGTAATACACAGTATTAAGAACTAAGGATATGCAGGCTTTAGAAAAGGGGGTCATTTAATTTGTTTTACTTATTGCTATGTTTTGTTTTATAATTGTGCAATTCTGTTATGACCTGCAGTTGAATATAAATCCCATAAGAAATATTAAAAATGTGTTTTTTTTTTTGTTTGTTTTTTGCCTGCTTATTGCATATTACCAATTCTCCAAGGGTGTGCAAACCTTTGGGCACACTGTATGTAATGTTTTTTAATCTTACTGTTTTTTTGCTAATGTTGCAATTCCTATGTTCAGGTCTTGCGTGTATAAGAACGACCAAGCATCAAAGGAAAATCCAAACAAAAGTCTTCAAGAGGAGGAGCCTTGTCCAAGATTTGCACACCAGCTGGTATATGATGAATTGCATAAGGTAATGTCCTCTATTCAGTATTTTCTAAAGTACACCTGACATGAGAGATGTATGGGGGCTGCCACTGCACTCTAAGAATGCTAGTTGACTGGCTGTATGGTTTTGATACTGTTTGAACACTCACTGGACCTGTGACTCAGAAAGTGAGAGCAATTAACATGACAACCATGCAACTAATATTCTTAAAAGGAAAGACCACCAGTGCCAGTCTTCATAACCTTATTACGACAAGTGTACGTTTAAGAACTAGCTAAAAACAAAACTTTTGTTTTGAGTAAACGGGATCTATCTGCAGCCAGTTTATTGGACAGTTTGGCAAGATCACCCCCATACTTAATACGAATGTAAAGAACCTCATTAAGCCATATAAATGATTTCACTCAACTGTGTTTTGCTCGGGTAAACCTAGGGGTGGTTGGTGACAACATTGCTGAAATTTGATCAGCGGTTGTCAGTTACTGCACTTCATTGGTGGCTGCATAGTATTGTCAACAGAGAGCCATTGGGGAGCACTGATAAATCGGAGAAGTTGTATAGAAAAATCAGCTACCATTAGTGTCACGCTCCCCATATCCATATCCCCATATGGGGAGCTTGACACTAATGGTAGCTGATTGATTGTGATGGGTTATTGTACTAGAGTGCTTGTTCTATGCGAGCCCCTAAGGTGGAGATTTCCCCCATTTTCTGATGCTTCTGATCTGTTGGTCTGACGTTAACTTGGAGCTGTCCCTGGGAGCAGAGAGAGTCCTGTGAGGGAGTGGTGTTACCCTGTGTGCCTATGGTGTGCCTGATGACCCCACAGCCCCTGCCCAGACGACTACTGGTGGATATACATACACATGCGCATATCCTTTGCGCTTCTGTTGAGTGCATTCATATTACTGACCCTCGCCATAGAGATCACTGCACGGATCACCTTTTTTATCTGGACTTAGATTTGCATTTTCCTCTTATGATGCACTACAGTCACTTTATTTATTGACTTTAATTGTTTGATACGTCACTAAGAGACGATTCACCACGATACCACTTTATAAGCGCTCCCTACAATTTATAATTATTATTATTCATCACTTTTAGCGCTGCATTTATATTATATTACCTCTCATCTGTGTGTTGATCATTCATTGCTTGCTAAAAAAAAAAAAAAAAAAAAACAAACAAACTGGAGCCTCAGTGTGGGTGGGATTATATAGATACACTCTAGGGGTGCCCCTAGCTAAGTGTTTGCCAGTGTTTAATCACCTGACGATAGCAACATATAACACATGGTCCATAAATATAAGTCATTTGTCCTGTACTGTACTCCAAGACCAGGAATTTACCAGAAATAAAAAATTTCAACTCCTTCCTCCTATAAACCAACATGTTGATGCTCACTTTCTCCTACTCAATAGAAGCTATGGCATTTTGATTACTGATAACGTGTATTGCTCGCATTAAAACATGTATCAGTGCGCGATTGTTCAGGGTGAGAAACATAACAGTTACTGTGTTTCTACTGTTAATACTGTCCATATAGTGCAGCCAGTCCCAATTAATCCTCTTAATCAAAAAGAAACCGGTAGCTAAACAAATTTTCCCTCATGCTTAGTGCTGTTACATTTGGTTTGCAGTTTGTTTGCAGGCTTTAGATCTAGGATTTTCTACAAACTTAGTTATAGGAAGAATTACCTTTTTATCTATAGGGTTAAATTACAGTCACAACATTTTAAAATGGTGAATGCCTGTAGCTGTGTACACTATTTAAATGCTAAAGAGGTAGACTGTTCCCTGAAACTAAAGATATTGACAACAAAAAGGCTACGCACTGTATTGTAGGAATTACTTTTCAATTGCTTGATGCAAGTGCAACAAATGGTATATCCGACACTAGCAAAGTATGTCAAGATGTCCTTTTTATAACTGCTTTTTATTTCTTGTCATGTAAGGTTCATTATCTTTTTGGAGGAAATCCAGGAAAGTCCTGCTCTCCAAAAATGAGGCTGGATGATTTCTGGTCTTTGAAGTTGTGCCGGCCTTCTAAAGAGTACTTGCTAAGACACTGTAAATATCTCATTAGAAAACACAGGTAAGTGTGTGTTTCAGCCCATAAATATGACTTGTCCTCTTTAGTAGCTGCTGGCCTAATATGCAAGCTGGCTATGCATTTATATAATGTTAATGGTGGTGATTGGTAAATAATTTAATATGTTGCAGGTTTGAAGAGCGTGCACAAACCGAACCTCTGAGCGCACTGAAATACCTGCAAAATGACCTGTTTGTCACTGTGGATCACTCGGACCCTGAAGAAACTAAAGAGGTGAGGGGATATCCAGAATTTGGGATCTTGTCATGTTCAATGAAAGTATTGTGTATCAGGACTGTCAGACTCTATACATTACTCAATTATAATAGTTGAGTATATATAATATTGGCATAGGTGTCCGTTTATGACACAGAGAATAGCTGTGATTCAGAGGATCGCAGCTATTCTCTGGTCATTCACAGTTTTGACACTCAGGAGATCAGCGGAGAACAAGTTCAGCCCTTCACTGGAGATCTGTGCTCTCCCTCCAGATTCTCCAGGCCAGAGCTGGAGAATCAGAGGAAGTGCAAACTAAGCAGCAATAATTTACCTCTACTTAATAAACTGATCTTTTACTGTAATATCGCAAGATTATAGTAAAAGCAGCCTTTTCCCAGCGGTTTTAGATCGTTCTCCCTTTGTTCGGAGAACTGATCTACACCACTTCATAAACGGCATTAACAGGAGAACTGTGTTCTCCGAGAATTCTGGAGAAGCTGAGCAGCGATCATTTACCGCTGGTTCATAAACGGACACCATAGTGTCATACAAATGGCAGAGATACCTTGTCTTTTGGATGGTAAAAAGAACAATGACTTGAGTTGCTGTTGTGTATGCTAAAGCAGCATTTCTTTCTTCTTTCAGTTTCAGCTTCTTCCTTCTGCACTTTTCAAATCCAGCAGAGAATTCACCCCTCTTGGTAAGTAGGCAGGAAAGTAAAATAAATATACTGGAGACTTGTGCAGGGAAAATCTGTACTGGTGTGTTCAAAATTTTGGCAGTGTTTAAAAGAAATGTGTTGGGGTAAAACAAAGGTGAAGTGACAATTTTCTCCATGACTGAAAGTAAGGGAAAATCTAAAATTTTGATTGTCACCAAGACAAAAACAGAACAATTTCCAATGGGGACACTCGTTTTAATGACAACTTATACATCAGGGTTTCCACAACCTCGTTCCCTAAATACCCCCAACAGGCCATATTTTGCCAATTTCCCTTAGGACACCAAGATATTGTGACGAGAAATTCCAAAAACCTGACCTGTTGTTGGGGGTACTTGAGGGCACTGAGGTTGGGAATCATTGTAATAGAGGATTTCTATCATTTCTTGTTACAGGCTCGTTCACATGGGCACTGTGGCCCCTACAGCACAAATCAGCATCTTGTTTGTGGCTGGTGCTGCATGCAGGCATCCTTTGTTTCTTGATGATACAGCAACTGTAGGAGCGCAGTCGCTTGTTTTGCATGAGAAATTTATCCAGATGTAGCAACCCTGGACTGCCCATGCCCAGCCATCGTGGTTTGATAATACTCTTTTGTCTATCTAGCAGCCCCACGGGACGCTTCCTCTTTTTCTTTAATATCCTTCCACCTTCTTTTTCTTGCTCCAGCTCTTCTTTTTCTTCCTTGTTTCCTTACTCTTTTTTTTTTTTTTTTCTTCTTTTTCTTTTCATCAGTTAAGATGATTGGCTGCCAGGCATTGGCCTGGCCTAGATGGTTACAATATGGGCAATCTTCACTTAGAACGATGAATTAGGTTTTCACCATAATACTCCACAGTTTGTGCACATGTATAATTTGACGTTCTGATTTGACTAAAACCTATACATTAGCCTGCATCTTTGATTTTTACACTGTATGGCTTTGTACACTGGTTATGTGCGTTCTTTAAGCTCGCACCTATTCCATACTGAATGCAACTGTCCAGTTGATGGCTATGTCTGTTTGACTGAACATTGATTAAAAACTCAGCCGCTTGTCTTAATGTGACAGGTGTGCAGGGGCAGTCATTGTGTGATTGGGGCTTTTCACCCTGCCCCTGCATGCCTTTCATATTAGGATAAGCGACTGTCCATACAGCTACTGCGTCTTCATAAGGGAAATATAGGCTGCTTGCACATAGCCCCAGGTGAAACATGCACATAAGCAAGGCTGTCATTCAAGCTGTATGAACAAGAGTGCCCCTGTGAAATGTGTGCCTATGTTTAAATAGTTATAGTTAGTCTGGCTGAAAAAAGACAAAAGTCCATCCAGTTCAACCATTTATAAAAAAAAAAAAAAAGTTAATTCTATACCCACAGTTGATCCAGAGGAAGGCAAAAAAAAACCCCAGCAAAGTATGAACCAATTTGCTCCTGCAGGGAAAAAAAAATTCCTTCCTGATCCCCCGAGAGGCAATCGGATATTCCCCCTAGATCAACTTTACCTATAAATGTTAGTATCCAGTTATATTCTGTGTAGCAAAGAAAGAATCCAGGCCTTTTTTAAAGCAGTCCACTGAGCTGGCCAGAACCAACTCTTGAGAGAGTCTATTCCACATTTTCACAGCTCTCACTGTGAAGAAACCTTTCCGTGTTTGGAGATTACATTTCTTTTCCTCCAGACGTAAAGAGTGCCCCCTTGTCCTCTGTGATGACTCAGGGTGAATAGCTCTACATCGAGTTCACTATATGAACCACAGATTTGACTTTAGTTTTACTTTAAGGTGAACTGGCTATTTAGGGACAGGAGAAATGTTATCCTGTCGTTTGTACTTAGTTTTATGCATGGCCTGCTGTGTTGATTTTGATCGATGGTCCTCATGATTTTCATGATTTTGTTTTATTAATAGGTTTCTCAGATGTTGACCACACATATGCTCAGAGAACACAGCTATTTGATACACTTGTCAACTTCTTTCCAGACAGTATGACCCCACCAAAAGGCAACCTGGTTGACTTGATTACACTGTGATGAACTGTTGAAGAGCAAAACCTTGTAATCTGCTTTTGTGTTATATGTATAATTGGAAATGAAGCTGGAATGCAATTTGTGCACAACAGATTGAACATTGCGTTTGTGGTAAATCTTCAACTCTGTAGGAAGAGGTTGATTGCCTCTTGCTGCCAAAGGTTAATTTGGCTGAAAGTTTTTCTTTTCCCTTTTGGTAAAATGGTTTACATGTGTAAAATGTAATGTAGCATTTTGCTCCTATTTAAAATGCTATGGTATCGTGCTCTCTTAAAAGGCTTCCTATGTTTGTGGGTAGCCTTTAAGCATTGGAGATAATGAGCATTGCCCCAAAATTATATATATATTTTTTATGTTCAACTAGATTTAAAGGGGCATAGGTGTATGTTATAGTAACATATGAAAGTGAAGCTTGGTCATGCATGACAAGGAAATTCTATGAGAATTAAGAACTGAGAAACTATTGAGTGACCTCTTGTACAGCTACTGTATTTTCTGTATAAAGAATGTGAATTATAAATATACTTCTTTTTTTATTTTGCGTTTTCACAGCCTTTACTTTGAATAAGAAGTTGGGGTTGTAAGAATGATGTATAAGCCAAATCTATCTGTGTGTATTCAACTGAGCTGCAATGAGACTTGTTGCTTATTTATTCAAAAATCAATGTGTATTGAACACCTTGCTAAAGCTTCCCTTGAATGGGTAGTGTGGAGGCTGAGGGGTACTTTAGGCCCCTTTCAGACGTGGCGGACCCATCAGTGGATCTACCTGCTCTGTGGGGGATCTCTCCACTTATCCCCACTGAGCAGGCGGATGACAGGTCTGTAGCTGCTCCGTTACTGCAGAGCAGACAGACACTGCCCGCTGTCTTCTATGGGGTGGTCGGATGGAAACGGGCTGCCTGTCCGTTTCTATCCGACTGCCATCAGATCCTCCAGATGGATGGGGAATGGATCCCCAAAATCCTTACAGGGTTGGATGCTAGCGGGTGTCAGTAGACACTTGTCCGCTGACACCTTCCGGTCAATAGAGGTCTATGGATGGTCTGTTCGGGTCCGCATGAAAAACTGACAGGCTGACCCGACCAGACCATCGGTGTGAAAGGGGCCATAGTGTTCAATCCTCTGTGGTCTTCTATTTTTACCGTATATTTTAATGCCACTGAACTCCATATGCATGACCTACTCATAAAACCAAACAATTGCACCCTACATTTTTAACTTAAAGGATAGCATAATGCTAACTTAAAAGTAAAGTTTTTTGTGCATGTATGTGCATTTTGCATTGTATACAGCAAGATAACTACAGTATCATGTAGTCACTAGTATGCAGGGTAGTATTTGCAGCAGTCAGGCCGATCCAAAGGCTTGGAATTTTTAGTGCTGCAGTTTTAAAGCTAGCAAAACACTGTGATGACTATTCAGTGATCTTTTGTAACATTTAACCAAGAGGTCTGTTGCATAATACCATAATCTGATCGTACCCCAGGTAAAGTTAGATTAATTTTCTGAAGACTGTATTTGGTTGTACAGAGGTATAATGGGAAACATGATATTTAAAGGTGCTTTCTGTGGAAAATGACTGTACTGTTTATCTCTCCATGTAATAATGCAGGGGATCCCTCCTTGCAGTGCCACATGCTGGTGAAATCTGGTATTGTGGAGTAGTCCTATAGATCTCTCCTTGTTGCGTGTCATTGGTGAGCTCTGTAAAATAAGATGGGACAATGATCTTCGTGTCAGTATCCAAGTTGATATTGGAGACCCCTCCTGCAAAATGATAAAGAATGAATCTAGGCTATGGATTACCATTTTTTTCCCTTTTTTAAGTTTTAAGCTGAACAAATTGAACAGATTATCCGGTTTGTTAACGCCTGCAAGTATATTAATCCTCAATGGGCTTTTTGTAGGTCTGGAGAACGCCGCTTAATTCCTTGTCCACACTATACTTGGGTCCTAGTTGATGCTAAGCTCACCCACCCTGTGATATTTAAAGAATAAGTGAATTTATTTGCAGGCCTAAGAGATCTTCATCTCCCTTCCTGTGGAGAACCAACACCCACACAATCCTGTGTTTGACCTCAAATGCTTTAAGTCCTCTTTCCACGGCCATGTTTGTGCGTGCACGAGATGGAGGTAGATGAACCCCATGAAAGTATATAGGTTCCACTGCACAGGCACAGCCAAGAAGAGAGGACTTGCTGAGCTGGAAGTCAACAAACTCAGGGAGGCTGCAGGATTTGAATGTTGTTAAGTGTGCATCTCTGGAGGGGGAAGGTGGAATCTTTTTCTGGTTAGTGGCGTGGGGGGTGCAAAAGAAATGCACTTTTGAGAGCGCACTTAATCTTTTATAATGGTCCAATATGTGAGCTAGTCGCAGTGGTCAGTAAAGGCTCTTCCATTGGCCATTGAATAGTGGATGAGTGGGGCTCAATGTCTCAGACCAGAGATTGGGGCTCTGTTTATAAGGTTGATTTGGGAATATCCCCCCCCCCCCCCGGCCTATCAACTAGTTAAAGTATAACGCCAGCTACCTGCATTTTGTCTGCATCTTCTTTAGTTTGAGCATCTGGGAGATCAGATCTTAAAAGGTTTGTATCACTATTTAACATCTGCACTCTTCCTCTTTTTTGCTAATCTCATAGAATTGATTTATTTACAATGAATTATCCCCAACCTGCCAATATTATTGCCCTATTTAGTGCATAAACAATGAATGCTAATCTGAAAAATGCCAAGAGCGCACTTATCATGGTTGATACTTTTAGACCACAATGTGTTCATGGCATACTTGTCACAAATTGAAAAAAAAAAAAAAAACTGCATTAGTAAGGGAGAAGACCCATATTTCCCTTTTTTAATTTTTGTATTCGGATTAACTATTTTTCCATATGCTGCAAACACTTCACATATCTTATCACCTTCATCTCATTTTTATGCTGGGTTGTATTGTGTGTAGAAGCTGCCATTTACTGCTTTATGGCACAGGCATAAGAAAGTTAAGATGATATATTAAAGGACTATTGTAAATTATTTTATGTGCATCATTTTGTTTTTAACACCTTCCGGTCCGGGCAAATTCTGACATTCCTCTCCTAGATGTAAAAAAAAATGTTTTTTAGCTATAAAATTTAGAACCCCCAAAGATGATAGATATACATACAATTTTAGCCGCGATCCAGGCGCATACAATGGGTGCTTCATATTTTTGTCATATGATGTTTGTGCAGCAGTTTTTCAAACACAATTTTTTTGGAAAGAATACACTTTAATGAATTTTAATATACAATATAATACCCACTTTTTGAGTAAAATATAAAAAAATGATGGTATGCCGAGTAAATGGATACCAAACATATCCTCCTTTTTAAAATTGTGTCTGCCTGTGGAATGGCACTAAACTATAATACCTAAAAATTTCCATAGGTGACACTTTAAAAGCCTTTACAGGTTACCAGTTTAAAACTACACAGGAGGTCTGGAGCTAGAATTATTGTCCTCAATCTGGCGTTCGTGGCGATACCTCAAGTGTGGTGCGATCATTGTTTTACATATGCATGTGGGACCGATGTGAACGTTTGCAATTGTGCATGAACATAGGGGGTGAGGCGTTTAAATTTTTTTATTTTTATTGCTATCAGGTGATTAACAATATCCCTTGTGATGGCATTGGCCGTGATAGGTCCTCTTCATTGAGAGAATACAGAAAAAAAATAGTGGTGCTAAGGGAGCATGCATTCTCCGAATGCCCGCAAGCCAGATTGCCTCTTCTCCGCTTCCGGTGATGTCACCGCTATCGGTGTTGGACCTCCTAGCTTGCCCTGGGAACCACCAGTGTGAGCGGACAGGTCTTGGATTATAACACCCCCAGGGTCGGATTTAACGGTCAGCAGGAGATGGCTTTTATGTAATATGCGAGTCTGTATGCTACTCTTGTGAGTTGCTCTGTGTTTTACTATTAAACCTGTTTTAATCCTACTACTACACTCAGAAAAGCGCTGCTGTTTTTTTCGTTTCTTATTCTTCATTGAGAGATCTGGATTCTATTAGACTGCATAATTCTCCTCTGGCCTGCAAAGCATCTGATTAAACCAAGATCAGTTTTAGCTGCTGCGTTCACAAGCTATTAACTGCTTGTTTACATGAGACTGAAACTGGAAGAATGAAATCCTTGTCTCTTCCGGTTTCTGACATATCACACAGTGGGAGGAACAACATCCGTTTCCCTCCCAGGAATTGGCTGCCACTAGGGTGTGCCCTGCACGCTCCCTGCACAGTTACTGCCGCCTAACGAAAAGCTCCCAATCTCTATTTGCAATCGGGAGCTATCCGATCATGTGACAGCAAGCCACGGCGGTCACTTGATCTGACCTTGACCACAAACCCATAAAGGGCTGTGAGATGCTGATGCCAAGTGGTTGATTTATGACTGGGGGCTTCCTTTTTAGTCATACAGGTCAGGATACATTTTAGTCTTTAACCCTACGAGTTGTATGCAGGTACCTTGGTAATTGGAACTAGCCAAAAAAAAAGCCGCAAGGGCATCCCCTATATAACCCCTCCCACTCGCAGCTAGCCTAGTTTTTTTGCTTGTGTCCTTAAATGATGGACCTCTTCTTTCTCTGAGAAAAGCATACCTCTTTTTTTTGTGGAATCTTTTTTGTGTCCGAATATTCTGTCAAGCTTCCTGGATGTACCATAGGCACTGCGGCTTCTCGGTTGTGCTTTGGTGGACTATACCCAGGTTTTGCCTGAAGAAAATGCGAGGTTGGCCTATAATAGTTCTTTTGGCTCTGGATCCTGCATGGACATGCTTACCTTGACACGTGATGTTTTGTGTGAGTTATCCACAGTGCTATACAGGTTCAGGGCTGTGATTTTCCAACAGTGGATACCTGTCCCTGAAGACCCCTTTTCTAGATGTGCCCAAATCCCAGGGTACAGTCTAGTCCCCTAAATCCTGTGCAGAGTGCAAATATATCTGCACCCTTAAAATCCGTACC